AGAACTGGGCTATGACATGAAATACACATTTCCAGAGCTGTTTCATATTATATTCTAGAGATTTGGTGTGTCTCCTACTTACATTGTTATGACTATAGTCAGACCTGGCCCCCTGTACTCTAAATTTAGGTTTAATAGATTACAGAACCATGTATGAGAGTATTATTCTAGTGTGGACTGAAGCTCTGAAGCCCAAACTACGTATAATTATTTTTATTGAGGTGATGATACTGTATCGGTCTATATTTCCCGGTGCGCTTGTGCATTGGAGGAATTAATGTTGGACCATGTTAACAAGAAATAGTAATAAAAATGTAAGACTGTTTCCCTAATCCCATTTCCTGATTAATTACTTGTTTTAAAGAAGGGAAGAAAGTGAGTCACTAACATTTGATTTAGTTTGGTTAATGAAAGAACTGGGGGATCATACCTGAATTTCTAAAAGGGGTCAAGAAGTTTTTAAAGGGCCTTGTCTGAGAGATGATTGAGTTATTGTGTGTGTAAGTAAAAGACACAGGATGCAAAGTGTGCACAATTTCCAGTAGCAGGGAATATTTTTCTAGCCTTTTATTCATTTCCAAATGGAAAGAGAGTTATGGAAATGTGAGGGGGCATTACACTAAGTGCTTGAAATATTCCTTCCCTACAGACTAATAAAAGCATGCTTCTTCCATCAAGCAAATTTAGTTTTCTGAAAGCCACATGAAGAGAGATCTGAATCTGTGAACTACACAGCTGCAGTAGGGTCAGCATGTGTGTTCTGTAATGTACTCTGGTGAGGGTGGGCATAACCTCTTAGCTTATCTAGTCGTGTTCTCTACAGTATCTTATTATGTAAATCAATAATGGAGTTTGAAACCATGCCTGTCATGTAGTTCTTTGGACTGTTTTCCTACCTTAATGGAGACTGAAAGGCATGCTAACCTTTTCAAAATGCTTAGTCTATCTGCATCCCTCCAGTAACAACAGTCAAGTGGGATAGGTCAAAAATGTGACCTGCCTTGTTTATAATGCGGTTATAATGGTTATGATGTCATCCATGGCTATAATTTCGTACGGATTCTAGACATCTGTCTTTTTAAAAAATCCAGCCTTCAGTCAGTGTGAAATTTAAATTTGTAATAGTAATAAACCTGATTTCAAGAGCTGTTTGGGTCAGGTCCCTGCTGAGGACACTGAGGATGCTAATGTATAAACGAGGAAATAATAAAGTGGAGCTAAGTTTATTTCTGTTTCATTAAAAATACAGGACAAAGAATCAATATTTCTTTCTAAGCCCTTGGTAGTGAAACATAAATAATTCAGGGTAAAATGGAAAAAAATAATAAAAAGGAATTGGCCCTTTTACTCTTTTCCTTTCTGGGGGAGTTTAGATGGAGCTGCTCTGTTGTTTAAACTTTCAGACGTTTCCTGGTTTTTGTTCAGATGCTCTTTTGTATTGGGTTCATGTTTCAGACCTGCTGTTTTAGAAATAAAATATAATGCTTGGTACTTATATACTTTGCACGTTTCATCTAAGGATCTGCAAGCACATCTCAAAGGTAGATGAGAATGATTTGTCTTCACCTGACAGACGAGTAAAATGAGACACAGTGAACTTAAATGCCTTGTCCAAGGTCAGACAGTGAAGACTGGAATCAGCTCAAGTCTCCAGACTCTTATTATACTTCGTTTATTTTCTGTACTTCTTCTTACCATGTTTGCTCATTTACAAAGTTATGGGCTAACCCACAAGTCCCTTACTCTGGGAAAACAGCTTAACTGGGAGTTATGCCTGAGGAAGAACTTCAGGATCTGGCCCATTGAGTTTTAATAAGGACTACCATACTGAATTTGTGACATCACATTTACTTCTGTGGCTATTGCTACATCATTTATATAGAATTATGACCACTACTTGGTCGAGTGAAATGAGACTCTGGGTTAGAACAAACAGAATAATTCTCAATTCATTCAACAAAGGTAACCTCTTTTAAGACTTGTGGAATATCCATGAGCAAATCAGAATTTCTTCCAGTTTATGCATTATTCAAGTTTATTTCATTAATCCTTCTCATTTTTTTGTTCCATAGCTGGATTGGGAATTTTCAGAATTTAACCTGGGTGTCTGAATTAGGATCAGTCAGATAAATCACACGGCATTCTTTTCAGTGTGCTCGCTGGTTGAGCACATAGGTACAAGTAGTGCCAGGACCTGTATCTGTGTAGTTAACTTTGGGGGGTTCTGTGCATATCTGTGACCTTGACATTGGCTTTCTGCACACATTGTTGTCAGGAAAACCGGACCACTCCAGCGTTCACAAAAAGTGCACATTAACAGCCCAGTCCTGCACAGAGCGCCACAGACAGATCCCTTCACCCAGACGAAGACCTGTTCTCCACACAAGCATTGCCTGCAGCAGGTGCTCTTTGCAGAATGGAGGGAAAGCGATGCAAAGATGGCCAAAGTGACTTCCTTAATGCTTATGGAAACGTCTGTTGCATTGCCACTTCAGTGCTAGCCAGGTGGCGAAGGAGAAAGTTGTTATAAAGCACAGATATATGCAGTAAGAGTGAAAGACATACAGATCCTGTCTTGCCAAATAAATTACTTTTCATATAACTATGTGCTTTTCTTACCCCAAGTTTCCGCCCATCTGAAAGTTACTCTGTGACATCTCTTAAGCTCCTGGACCAAACATTTAGTAGTTCTGATCCACAAAATAACCCTGCACAGAGAGGAGTGGCACATCTTTTGTACATTAGCACCTCTCTCTCCCAGGAACAGTCATACTCAACTCTGTTCACGTCACCTCCTGAATCCTTTCATGAGCTTCCCAGTTTCCCACTGCACCAAATAAAAGGGGAAGCAGTGTGGCCGAGTGCATAGATGCTGGATAGATAGTAAGGAGTTCTGGGTTCTACCCCCATCTCTGCCCCAGGGCCATAGTTTTTTAATCTGATCAGGGCCAAAGAGAGCCCTTCTTCCTCCTGAGCTAGGCACATTGGGCCAGAACTCAGCTGGCGTATATCGGTGTAGCTTTGGGGAAGTCAGGGGAGCAACACTGACTGACACCAGCTGGGGATCTGTCCCCTTGAGTTCCATGCCAAGTGGCTGTTTTCAGATCTGACCTTAATAACAGGTTTGCTGTCTGCTCCACATAGACATTAGAAGTCCCATGGCAATATTCTTAAGGAAAGGGGCTGGACCGAGAGTCCTCATTCAAATTAGTGCCCTCATCTCCCATTGCTGTGCAGGGTGCTGTATGCCAGTAATGCAGGAGGCTGCAGCTTGCCACCCCAGATGTGACTGCATTTCAGTGGTTCATTAAGTGATCACTGTGGGTGGGATTTCCATGAGCTGTTTGAAATTGATTTTACTCTCTTCTTGTCAAAGTCAGTGCTAAAACTCCCACTGGCTTCAGTGGGAGCAGAGCTAGAGCGCTGTTGAAAATTGCATCCTGTATGTGCATTGTAGCATGCTTTGGGAGCCCTATGGATGAAAGGTGCTATCTAAATGTCAGTTACACTACAGACTGCAAGGCTGGGGGTCAAGGAAATATATGGTGATAGGTAGGGTCCCTGTTCTGCTCCCACTGAAGTCAAGGAAGCCTTTGAAACAGTCTTCAGTGGAAAAAGATTTGGGCATCTAAGGAAGTACGTTAGATAAAAGAATCACAGAACTGTTGTTGTTGTTATTACTCTTATGCAAATTTTAACTGTTAGCGTGGTTTAGGCAGTTGATGAATTTCCCCCTTAAATTCTTCTGGAAATAGTAGCCCTGCACAGATGCCTAGGTTAGACACCATGCAGCTGAATACTGATTGCTCATCTGGAGAGATCATTTCCACCACATGCATTAAGTTTAGATATGGTCACCCTATTGGTGCCTTTGGTACCAGCAACCACTGAGAAATCCATACTGTGTGATCTGTGGATCCTGTTAGTGAGAAGCTGTTGGAGAGCGCTGACTAGTGTGTGCCCTGCATGTGCTTTTAGACAGAAGGAGCCAGCTGATTTCCACTGCCGGTTTCCTTTGGCTTCCTTCTGTGGGTACGGTACCTGAAGAGGCCCATGCCAGGGAGCCACAGAGTTCACATATTGCAATAGCTGCTCTTATTTATTTATTTTTCCCCGCTGATGAATTGAAAATGGAATATTTAAGAATGGCCAAAAGCCTGTGAGCTAAAGCAATAGGGTCAAATCCAGCTGTGTAACTCCATTGAAATCAATGCGTTGAATCTTGCTCAGAGTGCTCAGCGCCGTGGGCTGTATGTTAATGCTATGTAATGGTATGTATGGTACGCCTCATAAGTGGATTGAGAACAAAAGCTGTTTTAAAATGTTATCAAGAATCTCTCTCATTCATATTTCCCCCCACACTCTCACACAACGCACATGTTCCCACACACCCACACACTCACAAAACACCCACACTCACAAAATAACACCTGCTCATTTAATCTGGAGTTTTATGCAGATGTTATAGGTTTGATTACCAAATATGCTGCAGTAACTAAGGAGAGGACCAACCCGAACCCCAGGTCCAAACACCCTAAAATGTTGGGAAGTTCAAATCAGACTCACCTCGCACAAATGTTTTTAAATAACAGGTTGGTCAGATTACACCAGTAATAAAGATGACAGTTCCTACAGTATAATTAGACTTTAGTGCACTGTCCAGGGTAAAGAGGGAAGTGGGACTGATCATTTAGGCCTGTGCAAAGTGAATGCACTGTGGGTGTGAAACACTGTCCCCGGACACTGGTGGGGTTATGTAACATCCACTGCGAGGTCACTGTACTGGTGCATGTTCTGATGCAGGGTTCAATCCGAACACAAACTAACACACACGAGCATCTTCCCTGCACTTCAAACAGACTTCTAACTTTGTGACCATTTTTCAAAGATCAGGAGAAACGAGAAGCCCCATGGCCGAGCACACACATCCTACAGCTTTCTCAAGAGTGTTCTTCTTTAAGCTCCCTTCTTATTTGCTTTCTCTTGTGCTCTTATTATAGGGCACTCCATTGTACTTCCAATCTGCCAGAAATGTTACAGTGAACATTCTCAATGAGAAGACTAAAGTCCTTACTCGTCTTGTAACAGGTAAGGAAGAGAAAACATCAGAGGAAAGAATTAAGAAGATGTAAAGGACCCTGTGCTGTGGGATAATTTACAATCATTAAACAGTACAGAGGAGGGTAGCTAAGGCTTCTAGTGAAGTACAACTTAAAAGTTAGCTCCACTTTGTAGAAACAAAAGATAAGAACGTTAGGGCTGTGCTGGAGAAGAAGCTGGCTGCACATTTCTAATAAAGAAGCTGAAAATTATTGTCACTTGAAAGTCAATCCAGAGACAAAAGGTTAGTTGTATGACTTCAGGGTCAGGAAGAAAATATTCAGTCTGACATTTCATTTGAACAGGCACAGGATTGTCCCAAGATACTTTTAACTTGCCTAAGATCTCTTGAACTCTGTTGGTTAGCACCATCTGTGCACAGATGCTCTGCAATTGAGTGCTTTCCAAACCCAAAGCTCCTTCTGCTGCTAAAGAACCCTTATTCTCAGGAGCATTAGCACTTCATGTTTGATGGGGAAACCAGTGTTTCAGAAATCCACCGCACGGGTATGTCTTTGAGAGCATGTGTGATTTGTGTCGAGAGAGCGGCACGTAAAATGCTTAATATACAAACAGAGCAGGCTATGACCAGGGAGAAGAATTGCTGTGTGGTGGAGCCAGTAATCCATAAACATGTTGTTTCTACATGAGTTTGGATTGTCTGGCTGGCTCCATCTCACCTCCAGCCACAGTGCTAAATAATTAACCAGCTTCAGTAACCAATGACTTAAGGTGCATGTGAAAATTGCCGTGAGGAGGCAAATAAATTCAATCCTGAGCTCCCAGATTTTGCCATTCAAAAGGAACTTGTTTACTTTGTTGGTCATTTGCCATTTATTTCCCATGGAAACTTTGTGTCACTCAAGTGATTCTGTTTTGGTAGAGCTTGGAAGTGTCTAGATGGCTGTTAGTAGAAGATACAGCAGCTCTGTCACACACACACACGCACAAAGCACACACCATGCCAACACCGAAATGAGACCCAACACAGCAAAGTGGCTAGTAGAGATGCAGTCTCTAATGAAGGCATGGGAGGTTGACTTTTGGAAAAGATCATAAACTTACTGCTGCCAGCCTGTTTGGCTTGGAATGTCAGATGCTTCTTCACCATTGGGATCGGTGCAACATAAATAACCAAATACTTTTAATTTGATGTATAAAGGCTGCAATCAACACCCATTACATGCTCTGGGTATCTTTGCATACACTTAAAAGTCATGGTAAATGATATGATACCATATAATATAACTGAACCTAAATATAACTACTCTAAAAATCTCCTGCTCCATAGTTTAGAAACCAACTCCTGATGACAGCAGTAATCGTAATCGAATATAGTAGCACTGTGTGTGTCTGTAAGCCCACATCCCCCTTACATGCCTCAGAAGAAGGGTGGGATAACACAGCATATCTCAAATACAAATTCTTTAACGAGGAGTGGGAAAGAGAATTCCACAATCGAGAGCCCTTCATAGAGAACACCCTGCCAGCTGCTCCCATCTCTTTAAATTGAGGGGTTTCCAGTTTAAGCAACTCTGCTGATCTCAGCTGAGGTGGAACGGCATGCAGAGCGAGGCTGTCTTCTCAGGGAACCAGTTTCCAAATAGGGCTTTACCGGTTAAAACCGACACCTGGAACTCCGCACAGAGAACTCACAGGCTGCCAACACAGCTCATGGAAAGCTGATGATGTGAGATCTCAGTGTGACACTCTGATTAGTAAGCAGGGTGCTGCATTCCGCGCCAGAGTCCGTTCCGAGTGGTCTTAAGATGATAGTCCCGTATTGAGCGCATTGCAGTCGTGGGTAGGTAGAGAGAAATTCGAACCTAAAAGCTGCCAAAAATTGTGAGATTTTCTCAAAATAATTTGCAGGATCCTTTAGTGTTTCCACAGAATTAAACAGTTTCTACCTTCTGTACCCACCACTGTGCACACAATTAATTGTTTGTGCACTCAGGCAGCATTGGCATGCATAAATGCTAGTGCACACAACTGCATGGGCGAGCAATTGTGAGCACACAGTGTTAAAGCCCACATTTAAAAACCTTGGCCCTTCAAGAGTCATTTCTCTTCTGAGAAGTGAGACTAGTCAGGGAGACAGTGAGAGAAACATTTGGGTCTGGTCATCTGCCAATGAGCCATGGCAAATCAATCAGGTTTTGTTGTGCGTGGCGTGGGATAGGTAGGAGAGGAATGTTAAGTGGTGATTTTTACAAGTTGAGTCCTGGTCAGGTAGCAGAAGGGTCAGCTCTTTGCACTGCTGAGCCACAGACCAGCATGGAATGGCTACAAGGGCAGGTAATGTTTGTCAGGCTTTGGAACAAAAAGCATTACCAGAGACTTCTCAGCATGAGATTGCAGAGCACATCAAAAGACAGCAGTAGTATTAAGATAAGAGCTAAATACTGGAGAAGTGTTACTCATATAAAACTTTCTGAAATATTAAAGGTGACTTCCCTTTATTTTGTCTTGTACACGCTTGAAAGCCAGTCACTTAGGGCCTCATCCTGTGAAGGCTCATTTGAAAATGCTCATCCCTTCTCAGGGTCAGACTCTTAGTACTGTACCTCATCTGCTCCTATTGATTTCAGTAGAACAGGCCATTAGTCTACAGTTCAAAATGAAGCACTTGCTCCTGATTTTTGTATTCCTTTTGGATTGGAGCATGTCAGATACCAGCATCAGTTTATTCAGGGTAAATTGGATTTATATGGAAGTCAGAGCCAAGCAAAGAAAGGGCAGATGTTGGACTTGCTTCCTTTCGTCCTTTTCATACACTCATGCCTTGCAAAAATCTTCGTACCTTGTACAGCTGTGCCAATGCACTTAAATCAGGGCTGATAACACACTCTGCTATTTCATGCCTGGGTCTTTCTTTAGCAGAAGCTCCCAGTTGTGATAAGTTGCTTGGTGGTTTTGTAATGTCAACAAATGTTCATTAAGGCATAGGAAGAAATCATGGTCATTTTTACAGTGCGGTTTAAACATCATGTTATTACCTTGTCCTAAGGAGAAGTCACACTCTCAAGAGGAGAAATCTCTCTGAGTGGTTGATCAAATTGTAGATCATACATGCAGAATTACTGAGATAATCTCAACACTCAGATTTATTGCATTCATAAAAATACCATATGATTTTCTTCAGAAAACATGGGCTAAACCTGTTCTCCCGTTCTAGGTCCCCAATCAGTGGAAGCACACAGCCAAAAATTCGAGGTGAAATCCCTCTCTGGAAAATTGCTGTTTTCTGCAGATGACAACGAAGTGGTCGTGGGAGCAGAGAGACTGAGAGTTTTAGGTAAGAGCTCTTAGACAAATCAACTGTTCTAAAACTGTCTAAACTTCTCAGAAAGTTTTCTAAGAGCTTGGTCGAGCTCGGTTTGAAGTCACTCTTGTTGACATCAGTGGGGGTTGGTCAAGCCTTGGGAGACTGGACTGCTCATGGGATTGGTAATGGGACTCACTGCCTTGCACCTACATCTGTGCTTTGAATGTGCCTCAAGCTGATTGTGACCGTTGCTGTCATGTGATGGCTGTTGGCTAGCCTTCCTAATAAGTTACTGGTGGCTGCAATCCAGGTTCACTGGAGAAGTAAATAACTAGTTTTGGCAGTCTTAGCAGAGAGGCCAAACACTGGATGATTTTGGAGGCTGAGCTACCTGCTCAATCCTTTGGGTCCAAGATGACGGATGATAATGGAGCAGTGTAGGGTAGCTTTCACGGCCACAGTCACTGTCCTGGGAATAAACAGAGGACTCCAGTCCTGTTGATCTGGTCCTTTCACCAACCCTACATTCATTCTAAAGCAATACGATTTTCAGAAGAACTGCTTCCCACATTGTATTTTTAGTCTCCATGCTAATTTTCTTGATAGTCTATGAGCTTTTATCTTATATTACCTAATTTTTCCTTAACATCCATATGAGAGTTTGCTGTGTCTTGGAGCCCAATATGGCTTTTTTGCTGGCATGGCTTAATCCGCTAGACCCAATGAGGGATTCACCCCGCCCCCCCTTGGCAGGCAGACAGACTCTCCACTGTTGTCATCCACTGGAGTTCTTCAGTAATTCAAGGTAGGCCGGAGTAACACGAACTCCCACCAGACTCTGCAGGAGTCCTATTGGCAGGATTCTCTGTTGAAAGCCACAGAATTGGTGCATCCCTCTGCTGCTGCTCCTCTTTGACTGGCTTAATTTACTTTGAGGGTTGTGCTTGATCTGAAAAACCCCTCCCCTATAAACCAGGGGTTTGTCTTTTTATGCTACCGCAGCCTGGATCAGCTTAACTCCCCAGAGTTTCCTGCACCAGGTCCTTCTGTCAAAGTTTATGCTGGCATTATCTTGTGAGTACGAGTGCTCGAATGCCTGAGCAGCCTTTGTGTTTATTTCAGTTAGGTGGAAAAGAGACTGTTTAGGTGTTTTTAATAATTTTAAACATTTTTCCCCATAGTTATATATCGTAACCCCTTTAGAAGCGTGAAGCCTTTTCACCTTCCTCTGCAGCATGAGGCATGGGTCACTTGCAGGTTTAAACTAGTGTAAATGGTGGATTCTCTGTCAATTGAAGTCTTTCAATCATGATTTGCAGACTTCACTAACTCAGCCAGAGGTTAGGCAGGTTCTGTGGCCTGCGATGTGCAGGAGCTCAGACTAGATGATCATGATCATAGAATCAGAATCATAGAATATCAGGGTTGGAAGGGACCTCAGGAGGTCATCTAGTCCAACCCCCTGCTCAAAGCAGGACCAATCCCCAACTAAATCATCCCAGCCAGGGCTTTGTCAAGCCTGACCTTAAAAACCTCTAAGGAAGGAGATTCCACCACCTCCCTAGGTAACCCTGTCCTGTGCTTCACCACCCTCCTGGTGAAAAAGTTTTTCCTAATATCCAACCTAAACCTCCCCCACTGCAACTTGAGACCATTACTCCTTTTTCTGTCAAGGAGTAATGATGGTCCCTTCTGCCAATAGAGTCTGTGAGCCTAAATCTGTTGCCCTCCAGTACAGTGCTTGCTGTTTGGTTATAGAAGGCTTGCAAAAGAGTATTGGGTGGAGGATGTTTTTAATTGAGAAAAAAGAGCATGCAAGTGTTCATTTAAAAAATAAAACAACCTACATATCTATTGTGACAGGGTCAGGCCAGATGGCTACAGGAGAGTAATAGAAGGCAGATATATTAGCCCCAGGTTAAGTAGGTCCCTTTTCCCTGGGTAAGGTAACAGGGAAGGTTCCAGAACAATCAGAAACCTTCTGGAGACAATTAAGAGAGACAGGCTGATTAGGACACCTGCAGCCAATCAAGAAGCTGTTAGAATCAATTAAGGCAGGCTAATCCGGGCATCTGGGTTTAAAAAGGAGCTCACTTCAGTTTGTGGTGCGTGTGTGAGGATCTGGGAGCAAGAGGCACTAGGAGCTGAGAGTGAGAACACGGACTGTTGGAGGACTGAGGGGTACAAGCATTATCAGACACCAGGAGGAAGGTCCTATGGTAAGAATAAAGAAGGGGTTGGGAGGAGGCCAGGGGGAAGTAGCCCAGGGAGTTGTAGCTGTCGCCCAGCTGTTCCAGGAGGCACTCTAGACAGCTGCATTCCACAGGGCCTTGGGCTGGAACCCGGAATAGAGGGCAGGCCTGGGTTCCCCCAAACCTCCCAACTCCTGGTCAGACACAGAAGGAGTCGACCTGGACTGTGGGTTCAAAAAAACGGACAAGCTGAGGGCTGCCGTGAAGCTCCAAGGCTAGCAAATCCGCCAATAAGCACAAGACCCACCAAGGTAGAGGAGGAACGTTGTCACACTATGTAATATACCTATCTATATCTATCACTTTCTGTATGGAATATGTGTGTATTTTATATATATATATATATATGTTTATATGGATTTTGTAATTTGGTGCTTTCCAGACTTCATGGTGTCTCTTTTTTATTAGAAAATTTAAAAATTGACCATTAAAGCAAATGTGCAGTTTTAAAGCAGTAAAATATATACCACAAAATTAGGCTCTTAACACAAGTCTCCTATCCTCCACTGCATTTTTCAGAGATATTGGATCAACTCAATTCTTATGAATTCAGGAGATGATCAGTCTAAGTATTCTCCTGGAGATCTCAGAGTAGAAGGATATTTTAGACCATTTTTCTTGGTCAAACCAAGTGATAATTAGCTGATAAAAAGTATTCCACAGGTTGCAAATACTCCTTTTCAGATGACATAGCTCGAAAAATATTTGTCTATTATTTGCTTGAATTGCTCTGGAGGAAGCAGCAGTAGTTTTAGATATATCAGTTTGAGTTTATGCCTCATTGTAGTCACTGGAACATAAGGAGTGGGGAGCTTGCTAATGCTATCGTGCATTTTTATTTATGTTTGCAGCAGAATCTCTCTCAAGGTTTTATCAGGCTTAGGTAGAGACATGAAAGAAGAAAAGATATGGTGACAGGAGAATAGAGGTTATACTGTACAGTATTTCAGTAACCTTGAGCTGCAACGTTTTCAGCGTTTGTGTTGGGCTTTGATTTTTTTCGCCCTCGTTTCTGTAATCTAACTGTGTCTCAAAAAGTGGTTGTCATCGCTGCTTACCATGCCAGGAGATGTTATTCTGTATCTTTGTATTCCTTCCAATATTCTTGTCTGGACCTGAGGGTCAGGATCCTGGATGAAGATAGGCAGGAGTAGTGGCAGGAGCCGAAGCCAGGGGTCAGAGCTGGTGTCGGAGTGAAGCTGAGGGACAAAGCCAGAGTCTGAGTCGGGAGTCAAGCCGAAGGACAGAACTGGAGGCGGGAACAAGAATTGGGCCAGGAGTCAATACCAGGGATCAGGATCAGTGCTGGGGCTCCGGGGATCAATGGAAGTCAGGATCTAAGTCAGAGGAGAGGTCAATTCCAGGAGTTCAAAGACAGAGAAGCAGGACAGACGTGGCAGCTACGTAGGAATCCACATTGTTGCCTGGACATATCTCTTTGCCTTAGGTATTTATATGGCCCTCATTACCATAATATTTGAACACCTCACAATCTTTAATGCATTTATCCTCACACACTCCTGTGAGGTTTTGCAGGGCTATTACCCCATTTTACAAATGGGAAACCGAGGCACAGCAAGATGAAATGATTTGCCAAAGGTCACACAGGGAGTCTGTGGCAGTGTGGAGAATTTAACATGGTTACTAGGCTGGTGACCTAACCACTGGATCGTCCTCTATACAGCGGGCTATGGCTTTGATTCACAGTCAACCCCTCAGAGGCAGAATCTGCCACCGTTACTCCCACTGAGTAGAACTTCATTCCTCATTGAGTCTCACATGGCAGACATTCACGGAGGAGGACAGCTTAGGGTTCCCTATATCCTCCCCCACACTGTATAGCTTGGCACGCACCAAAAAGACACAATCTAGTGCTGATTTGGGTATCTCCCAAGGGCTCATAAACTCTCACACTCTGAACAGTGGAAGGAGAAACAAACTGGCCCTAACTAAATTCACATGTTGTGCTGTAAACAGTTCCCCTCTCTCACATACCCCTTCCCCCACCCCGAAATAAAACAAATTATGATAATCTAAAAAATGTTGTATCTAAGAGATGCTTCAGTAAAAGAACATTGAAAAGTAACTTTGATATACATTAATTACCAATTTCGTTCTACAACACATTGAACATTATAACATTTATAAACAAAGGATAATCATAAAGCATTATTCTAACTGTTAATTAGCTCTATTTATTCTCCAGATTAGTTTTTAAATATGCCCTCTAGATGCCACTTGATACTAATTACCAGAGTTACATTATTATCTCTATACAAAAGCATTTTTAATTAAATCTAAAGCAATTTAAATTAGTGAGAGTTTTTACAGAAATTAAACTGTGGTCAGATTCTTAATTTAGCCTTTTAAAACAACATCAGATGGCATGCTGGAATCAGTTCTCCCAAAGGCCTTGACATCTTTTTGGACGTTAGATTTCAGAGTTTGTTTTCAGGAAGGCTTGCCAACAAATTCTGGTAATTAATATTTATGGTGGGAAGTGAATTGATGTTTTTCTTTTACTGAATATTGGTGGAAATCCAGATGAATTGTGATGATCTTAAAACAAGACAATATGGAGAGTGCTTACGCATTGTACTGGCTGTTTTGGTCTCTGGTTTTGAATTGTAGAGGAAGCGCCAATATAGACATGTGGGAGTCAGGTTGAGGTGCAGTGGGACGTAGTCACTGTACACAAGTGCCATATTTGGTGGTTCTCGTGGTATGACAAAGATCACTAATAAGGCATCTAAGAGTTTCCTTTGATTTCAGTGGGCT